GAGCCAAAGCGTCAATATTGAGGTTGCCAGATTTTTATATCGCAGAGACTGTCAATGATAACGTTTAGCGCACGATGTGGATCACGTAGAGCATTGAGCTTTCATGGGCGGGTGGTTTGAATTCACGCATGAAGAATCATTAAATATCTTCGTAAGGAGTTAATTGCGGTAATTCTTGCTGTGCGCATCGTGGTTTACGTGAAATTTGTGCAAAGACACATATATCAGAATGCTGAAATTCGTACCTTGTCTAGTGATGTACCTCGTCGTTGTTGTCTAGCGTGCGATGTGAATCACGTAGAGTATTGAGTTTTCATGAGCGGGTGGTTTGAATTAACGCATCAAGAATTATTGAATATCTTCGTAAAGAGTTGGTTTCGGTAATTTTCGTTGTGCTTATCGTGTTCTAAGTGAAATTTTTGTTACGAAACACATATCAGAATGCTGAAATTTGTACCTTGTCTAGTGGTCCATTGTCATTGTCGAGTTAACTTAAAATCTCATTGAAGTTAAAGGGAGTCTATGAAATAACAGGAGCGAAAAATAAAAAAATACACGGAAATTCTCGTCCCAGATTTATTTACTGGTATTTCTACAGGGCGACCCGTGATTCTGAGGACATGTAGAATCACCCTTCAAGGTGAAGATGGGACAGAATTGGTATTGTTATATCTATTTTCAATAATTTCAAGTTTGACTCCAATACTGAGTAGACGGGAATAATTTGTATTTCAATCGATTTGTCTTTCAATCGACCTCATTTACCTAGATTCAGCTTTTCAAAAATGGAGCATTGTTTTGACCAAGATGAAGGTACTGCGATAGAGGTTTTTTGACTCCTTCTTCCGTTATGCTAACTAAACTTTTTTTGTTTTTTTTATGTTAATCATTTTTCCAACTTCACTGTCAATGAAATGAAATGCTGTTCCATTTCTCAAGAAAACTTTCATTTTCCTCTGATTAATATGTTCTCCCACGGTGGATATAAAAGCATCATGTCCTGAAGGTATACCTACCGTTTATTTTCAAATTTAATTTTATAATGAAGAAGATAATTCTTTTTTTCAATGTTGAGAGCTATTTGTTTTCTACTTTTGTACGGAGTTTGAAATCTGAGTTTAAGGACAGGGATGAATGATGAAGCAGTTATAAATTTTATGGCATTTATTTCCAAGCTAACTTTACAATAATCAATTAGTTTTTCTCAAGTTTTAAACTAACATAAATAAAGGCTACATACATTCATAATTACAATCGCTCACTGAACAATTAATCAACATATCATTTGTACAATATATAATCATGTCCATAGAATCTAAAACATGTTTAGATTATTTTACAATTTGAAATTGCTTTTTATATCTTACTTATTCAATAATTTTTACAGCATATTTACAGACTATACATTACTGAAAGGACGACAATCAAAGGATAAGTCGTGGATAGAAGTGAAGAAAGCAATTTCGTAACATCAAAAACAAAAATTAAAATGCAAAATAATCACACGATGATAAATTCGTAGAGAACTTCCTTGTTCAGACCATAACACATTGTTTAAATGATCACACACGTAATATTAGTTGCTATTCTGAGTCTCTTTCTCTAAATTTGAGCTCGGAGGACAAGTTCCTTTTCTGCCATTAAATCACAAAAAACAACAACAACAAGACAGTGTCTAAAGGTTTCGAGTCAAATTTTTAGTGAATGATTTTAAACGGTGCCTCCTAAAGGTTTAACATTTTTTTTAGCTCTCAGAATACATTACTTACGTAAAAACAAGACCTTTTTTAGGGAGACTCATACATATGATGAGTTCAACAGAGTTTTTGATCAGGAAATTTACATAATAGTTCCGCGAAATGAGGGATTTTGCGGCACGTTTATTTGAGAAATTAATGCGTGCTTGAAACTGAAAAAGACCAGTAGCAAATGCGTGTGCTGGTATCAGCATGCAGGAATTAAAATTGCTGAAACTGTTAATTTCCAATTATCGATAGAATGGAAGCTGGTCTGAATAATAATAAACCGTTCCTAGTATGTTATTATTCCTTTGATACCCGTGAGAATGTTACTTAGGGTTATTGTCGGTGAAAATTGCACAAATTGTATTTGGTCAACTTTGATTGCATGCAAATAGTACTGCGTGCAAATAATTCGGTAATAGTTGCGGACGAGCCTGTAATCTTTTCCTCGTTCGTGCAATTAAAAGGCTTTTTGTCGTGTGCCAGTGTTGCCAGACGGGCAATTTTAATATAATATATCATATCATGGTACCAGATCTATGGAAAATTCGGTCAGGAGAAAAACTTGACAGCTTCCTCACAATTATTCAGCTAGGGCCTCTAATTGATCAGATTTTTGAGCTACGTAGTAATTGCTGGTTGAGCAAAAGAGATTCTTGGTATTAGAATTAAAAAAGAAGGTAGGTACAGAGGGTATATTCTGCTCTACCTACTGAATATCATACAGGTACAGACAGAGCCATAAAGCGAAAAATTCGTTGAAGAATATTGAAATGACGCTCTTGAATTCAATTTAGGACATAAGAAACTTTGACAAAAATTTAAAACACACACTGAAAATTCTTCCTCCGTTAGTAAGTACAGCAAAAATTGACGAGATATTCGACTTCAAAGTTAACAACATGAGATCCGTTTCTAACATGTTTTGTTACACTGAAAACTGATCGATCTTTTTATTATAGTGCTCATAATTATAAGATTTGAATTTTACCTTCGCATGATCAAAAAAAGGTTAGGTTTTTTAATTTAGATTACCCAAATAATTAGACTGAAACATGGTTTGTGCAGAGAGCAATTTGATATAATGACGTTTAAAGAAAAATCGTTAGAGAGTTTAGATGCTGGTACTTGAAGAGTGACAAAAAACTTAACTGACACTGTACAAAAAAGTCTATTTCAGTGATTTAAAACATGCAGAGAAGTGAAAACAGAGACACTCGATCATAATGTGCACAAAAAAGCACAGTCAATAGACGTATGAGCTACATTTAACAACGAGATGGATTCTATTTATTTATTTTTTAGATGATTTTCACTATGTAGTAAAAATATAAATAGATAAAAAAGGCTGGGAATTAACTTTCTTCACTCTATGATATGGCAGGTAAAGCACCGAGTGCAAAAATAAAGAGAAATGTTTCATTGTCGTTGTCAGTGAATGAAGTGCACCAATTTTGCAAATTTGTTTGTTGAAAATCAGTCAATTTTCAGGTCATTGGGAATAAGAACAGCTGCGGAAAGATATTTACGTCGAATTGGCGTGGGAGAAATAATTCTCGATCACAGACATTCTCGACTAATCACAAAGTGGAAATATTTACAACGGAATTGAGGAGTCTGGTTCTCCCTCTCCTTACGACTTTTGCCAGTGGCGTGGCGTGCTTTGAAATATATCTATTTATCCGTCGTTTAAACCTATGGCAAAGAATCGATAAACAGGATGTTCGCAACGAGCACCTTATTTGTCGATTTTTTACCATAGCTTCCAATGGAGAAATATCGATAATCGATCGTTCACGCCTCGCCACTGACTTTTATGTCAGCCAGGCTGATTTGTCATGAAATTTGAGTCATTCGTTTCGCTACAGCAGATCATCGAAAGCTGTGAGATTGTTCGTTGGGAAAAATCCAGTTAGTGGAGATACAAAGTATTGAAAGGGTTTTTTTTTTCACCAATTCATGTTTTATGTTGACTAACATTTTGGTGGAATGGAAACGTTTTAAATTGTGAAAGAAATTTACGAATTAATGTTTAAACAATTAATGACTTCGTTGATATATTTAAATAATTTGAGGCAATGACAATGTTTAACAGAGAACTCTCATTGATACGGTTATTTTCGTTATTAATAGCGATAATGAAACGAAACGATGTACAAAAATTCAATCAATTGTGCGTTCTTCCTGAACAGTGCAGACAACTGATTTACGAGACAAAAGCAGTAATGAACACAGCGCAATGTGGTGCTCTCAAAAAATTGTATCGGAGCAAAGTGATAGAAAAAGTGAGCAACGGGGGAATGATGCGATCCTATTGGTTGAAATAGGTGGATGCTATAGTCTAATTGGACTGCATTTTGCAAATAGGAACTAGGTCTTTAAAGATATAACATATGTGTCATTTGTTTTCCTATGTAAATAGGTGTTTTTTTTTGTGTGATCAAGAGATTGTTGCTCCTAATTTTAAAATATAGTCCAATTATAAGGGGGGAAAATGATGGCCTTATCTAAAGGATATCTCAAGGGTTCCTATTGGTTAGTCTATTAATTCCTTCTATTGTTCATTATAACCATCTCCTTCCACCATTACTGCCCTGCTAATAAGGAAGAACGCCGTATGCTCATTCGAGAGTTGCCAAATTCCCTTCGGTAAAATGTTTATTTTTGAGGAAAGTTATGAATATTTTTCCTTGGAATTTTCAGGAATTTTAAGTGAAATCGTGAGCAAAATTTTCTGAAAAAACGGAACGAAAATATTCATAGGTTCACCCGGGAATTCGTGCTTTATCAAAGGAAACTTGGCAACGCTAAAGGTTCACACGGCGTTCTTCCTCAGTACAGCAGATTAGGATCGCTCCATTTTCCCGTCGTTTCCTTTGTACCTAGCTTTGTCTATAAAATTTAATAATCAGCCCACCGCGGGCTGTGTTGAAATTGATAGACAAATCGATAGACAAAGAGGACATAGAGAGCATGGAGCAATCCTATTGGCTGAAATGGGTGGCTCCTATAGACGAAGGGAGTAAATGATGGACTAACTATAGGGTCTCTCGTGAGTTCCTGTTAGTTAGTCTATCACCTACCTCCTTTGTCAGTTTCAACCACCCGTTTCCACCAATAGGATCCCTCAATATCTCTTTTGTCTTCTTTGTCCATCGCTTTGTCAATCAATTTGAACAATCAGCCCACAGCAGGCCGATTATTGAAACCGATAGACAAAGACGACATCTGGAGGGATCCTATTGGTGGAAGCGGGTGGTGGCAATGGACATAGGAGGTAGGTAATGGCCTAACTAACGGCAACCAACCAAAGTCCCGACAGTTATTAGTCCATCATTGTTATCCTTACAAAAGAACCAACCATGTCAACCAGTAGGATCGATCTATACTCCCTATGTCCTGTTTGTCCATCGCTTTGTCTATCAATTTCAACAATGAGCCCACTGGAACAACTCAGTAGGATCTACTGACATGAAGGGTTCACGATTTAACGAAATGACAAAATCAGCCGTGGCTGACCGGAAGACCCTGGCGGGGGTCTGGCGGGGCGAAAGACTTGGGTCATCCTGGGGCCTGGCCCGGGGCGGGGGGGCGACTGGGGGCTCACGTGGCGCGGCCGCCGCCCCACCCGTCTCAGAGGAGCCCCGGCTTGACGTCCATGGCGTCGCCGGAGAGAGGGGAGTTGACCTGCCCGCCGTCAGGCTGGCTGTTCTCCTCGGAGTCAGAACATGACTCCGAGCTTCCCTTCTTGCTCCCGTTGCCGTTGTGGGTCTTCACGTGTTTCGCGAGGTGGTCGGAGCGCATGAAGCGCTTGTTGCACACCGGGCACGCGAACCTTTTCTCCCCGGTGTGGGTCCTGAGGTGTCTTTGAAGTTCGTCGGACCGCGTGAACCTCTTCCCGCAAAACAACCAGTTACAAACGAACGGGCGCTCTCCGGTGTGCCACCTCAGGTGGGCCTTCAGGTGGGAGGTCTTCCCGTAGACCTTCCCGCAGCCCGGGATATGGCAACTGTGAATGTTCTTCTTGCGCAGGTGCACGCCCGCCGGGCCCAGCCGCTCGGCCTCCTGGCAGTTGGGGCAGTCGCACGTGGCCCGCCCGGTGTATCTCCGTTGAGATCGCGGGGAGGGCGCCTGGGGCGACGACACGCCGGAGACTGAGGCGGGGCTCGTGGCGGCGTGGCCCAGGCCGAAGGAGCCCTGGCCGGGGAGCATGGACTTGTAGGTGTCCTGCAGGAGGTGCTGCCCGGAGGACAGGAGGTGGGCCGTGTTGGAGGCGGCGAGGCTGTGGCTGAGCGAGGAGTAGTCCGGCTGGTAGTTGGCCATCTGGGCGTGGCCGACGTCGAGCCACCCGCTGGCGGCGTTGTGGACGTCCCACCAGCCGGCGTTGACCTCTGGTTTGATGGAGCCGTGGTTGAAGGCCCATGACTCGTAGGGGTGCCGGCCGTAGACGGAGCCGAGGGCGGCGTGGGAGTCGACCTTGCCGAGGAGGGGGGATTGGTGGGGTGAGTCCTGGGCTTGGGCCGAGCCGGGGAAGTAGATGTCGCTGCCGTAGGAGGCGGGGGTCGTGCAGCTCGAGGTGGCCGGCCGACTGGAGTAGACGGAGCTGGCCGGCGTGGAGGTCGCCGAAGAGCGCTGCGGCAGGCCTGAGGAGGGGGTCGGGCTCCCGCCCTGGGGGGATTTCTTCCAAGGGTGGAAGCCTTTCCCTACGACGGCGTCCGCCAAAGGGGGTGGCGACTTAGATGAGAGCTTGTTGCACTGTGCTGCGAGCATCGCGAGGGGAGTTCCACGGAGACCTGGGTGTTCCTGAAACACAAATAAAAGGCTGAGGTTAGTTTTCGAAAATTTGTGTCAACGCAAGGCAATGAGACAGCTGGAAGAATCAGAACCACGTGGAGAAAATTTGACAGATAGACATTCGCACATAGTGAAGTGGCAATGGCACGCAATTTTACCAGCGGGAGAGTAACACGTGACTCCGGGAAACGATTCTTGTTTTGCTCCCTTGGCGGTTGTGGTGTTACATCTTTAAAAATGAGCCCAGTTAATTCAACAATCAGCGTATTCTTGTCAAACTCTGTCCAATACTTCGTCCGACAGCCAAAAATTACCCAGACGATTTCAAGTTATGGTAATTTTCACTCGTGAAAATACACGGAAGCACAAGCGTGGTAAAGTTATTCTCGGCAGAAACGATTCGAGCTTTCCTCCGAGTCCACGCGTTCATAGCAACAAAGCACGATACAAGTATTTCAACTCCTGCGTAGTTAAAATTGCATATGTATAGAATTGAAGGCGAAATCAGTGTTCGCTTTGATTTCCGCTATTGGTTTATTTCAACTGCTGAGAAAACCTTTAAGGATGGATCTGCATGATAATATGAAAAAATAAGATTTCAAAATTTCCTTGTTTTGGAATACGATATGTTAATGTGCACAGACAACATTACAATAAAAAAAAAAAAAAAAAAAAAAAAAAAAAAAACATTACAATAACGTGAATGTTATCTGAACACATGAGCACCGCCAAATGAAAGGAAAACATTGAATTCTGTAGTTATCGATTAAATTTTGTTCAAGCGTGTCGTTACAGATCTCAATGATTACCGTATAGGATCCCATGCGAAACTAAAGGAGCGATTTTCCACAGGAAAAGCGCCATGAAGGATAGAATTGACACCATTTTTACTGCCCAGTGTCATTTCCTTGTAACAATCTTCCCTAAAAACAGTTAAGGCTTTATTCAGGCCCTCTGAAGAGACTATGAGGACTTTTAAGGGGAATTGACTTGTTTGAAAAAGCAATGCCACAGGCTACACGGTATAGGCTCAAACGGACCCTAAAATCTTAATCACCTCAGCCCTGGTCTCTAAAATCGGTGCCCAGGGATGGAACGGAGGCCATTAAACCTCGCGAGTGGTCAGGCGTTATCAACATACGCACAGTGGGTGCAACTCTAGGGTGGCCCAATTATACACAGCAAAATTTATTTTGCGAATTTTTTTGGTCTTACCCCCTAGAACTGTTCCATTTGATCAAAAAACACTCTCTGCCAAGTTTCAGCCAAATCGGATAATATTAACCCGTGCCGACAGAGCCATCTTTTTTATATGGGATTTTACGTTGAAAAACACTTTTTTCCAGAAAAATCCATTTTTCGAAAAATGTGTAATTTCTAGAAAAAATCTGAGGTCATATTCGGCTTTAGCAGGAAAAATTGAGTAGGAAAACATGTATTGAACACTTCAAAAAAAATTTTACCCCTCGTTAGAGCGGCGAAACAACTGAAACATTTAGAAAACGCTAAAAGAGGGTAAAATGACGGTAATAAATCCCAAATAATTACGTACGTCTGCATCCGAAAACGAAGCTCAACATATGGTAGGTGCTTCATTGGTACTTTTTTACGCTGAGTCCGAAAACGCTATCCATTTTCCTCTATTCCATCAGGATTTTCCGGAAAATCGATTTTCTTGGATAAAAAGAGGGTTTTCCGGGGAAAACTCAATTTTCAGGAAATAAACCTCAACATGTGACGGATGAATTCGAAAATCATAACCGTTTCCCTCTATTCCACCAGGAGTTTTTGAGGGACTAAATTTTTCCCGTAAAAAGGTAATTTTCCAGGAAAAACTCGGTACCCTGGAAAACTTGTGAATTTCGAGGATAAAAAAGGTCATTTCTTAACTCAGTTGCAAAAAAACATAGGAACACAAATTGCATACTCCTGAATAAAACCTATGCTTGTTAGTGTTGTATGTATTCTTATGGAATGTGGAGAAAAAGTGGGCAAAATTGAGTAAATTTGACAATTTATTAAATATTTTGGAAAATTACCTTTTTACGGGAAAAATTTAGTCCCTCAAAAACTCCTGGTGGAATAGAGGGAAACGGTTATGATTTTCGAATTCACCGTTAAAAATACATAAGAAACATCCGTCACATGTTGAGGTTTATTTCCTGAAAATTGAGTTTTCCCCGGAAAACCCTCTTTTTATCCAAGAAAATCGATTTTCCGGAAAATCCTGATGGAATAGAGGAAAATGGATAGCGTTTTCGGACTCAGCGTAAAAAAGTACCAATGAAGCACCTACCATATGTTGAGCTTCGTTTTCGGATGCAGACGTACGTAATTATTTGGGATTTATTACCGTCATTTTACCCTCTTTTAGCGTTTTCTAAATGTTTCAGTTGTTTCGCCGCTCTAACGAGGGGTAAAATTTTTTTTTGAAGTGTTCAATACATGTTTTCCTACTCAATTTTCCCTGCTAAAGCCGAATATGACCTCAGATTTTTTCTAGAAATTACACATTTTTCGAAAAATGGATTTTTCTGGAAAAAAGTGTTTTTCAACGTAAAATCCCATATAAAAAAGATGGCTCTGTCGGCACGGGTTAATATTATCCGATTTGGCTGAAACTTGGCAGAGAGTGTTTTTTGATCAAATGGAACAGTTCTAGGGGGTAAGACCAAAAAAAATCCAACATTGCCAAATTTGGGCCACCCTAGTGCAACTCTAATGGTCGGAATCAAATAGGAGAGATGGAACGCGTAAGAAAATTGTTTGTATGGGGTTATAGGAAGAGATCCGTCAATTTGCCGTAAATAAAGATGAACAATATTATCTATGAGCTCGAAAATATGTGATTCACGGAATAAGAAAAATAAACAGAAAAAATCAGGTACACTGCGAACGATTACTTTTGAACTTTTGATAATTATAAACAAGAGAAATTCAAACAAACCCTCTTATGTTGATATTGGTTCAGTTTGCGTTGAAATCAGCACAGAAAAGAAGAAATGACCAAAGGCGCGGGTGACATTCTATTCCACTTCCTAAAATTAACCGAATTTTTAGTGTTAGTTTTTTCCTTTGGAGCAGAGTTCTATTCGAAAGGAGCGTTTTACTGAACTTTGCGGTTTTAAAAATCGATTTTTAAAAGTTTCAATGTTCTGGAACTAGATTGTAGGTCAAATCACCCCATTTTATATAGGATTATAGCGATATAAATTTTATCCATATACTTCGTGGAACACCCTTATTTATGCAAATAGACAGTACATAAGAGTTTTTGATTCTTAACGGAGATCAAAACACGATGATGACGCCCCTGACGATCTCACCATCAGTCGGGAAATATGCACCTTAGGTGATCGCCACCGCAAGCTACCTTTCCGTAAAATCATACACTGAAAACAATTTCTCGGCGTTTTTACCAAGGTCCGTTGGTACCTAAACCATCTCACTTTTTTTTACCAATTATTGGTAATTTTACTAAGCCAGACCGGTAAACTTACCTAAAAACCGGTATTTTTACTGTTTTTCAGGTAAGAATACCACTTTTATTGGTAATCAATTCCCGGTAACTTTGCCTTTTTATCTCGGTAATTCTACCACAGTCGATAAAAAATATTGGCGTTTTTACCAAGGTCCAGTAAAATTACCGAGAAAGTTCAATAATTTCACCGAGATTTCTCGGTAAAATTACCAATTCCATAAATGGTAATTTTGCCAAGAAAAAACTGGGATCAAATAGAACCCTGAATTCTTGGTAATTTTACTCTTTTCTTAGTAAATACACTCAGATTTTTTTTTTCAGTAAATCGGGTTTCGACCGCAACCCTCAAGAGCCCGGGTTTTGGCCGTTGAACCTAGAACTTTCGCCCACTTTGGGGCTCCCGCGGAAGCGGCGAGCGGATCGGGCGGGCAGACTGTTATTGGTGGATAAAAGAGTATCGCGGCGGGGCGGGCGCGGAGAAACGTGGGGTGGTTTTTCGACCACACCCCTTGGGCCCCCTCCCCCCGCGATGCGCCCTCCCCCTGCCCGCCCCCACCCCTCGGCACGCGCGCCGACCGGAAACCGAGATAGCTTTTCGAGCATGGAACCAGGACCGGAAACATCACCCGAGCGCGGGCGCACTTTCGATAGGCGCTGTTGCCGAATCGTGCAATAAAGGTCGTATTTTTATGGTAGTTCCGTTAAAAGCGCCTTTTCTTAGGGAGGCTTCAAGGGGTTTATATTGTGGCTGACAGAGGTTAAAGGCCGTTCTCAACGCAGTATCATTTAATGATCAAATTTTGAGGAAAATTTACCTAATCTACGTCACCTCGAAAAACCCCAAAACCCTCCCTTAAATGGACGGAGTTAAATAGAAAGGAACCAAGCCACATCGGGATCGAATCGAGAAAAAGAGGTTTAAAGTTTGGCTCCTGCATAAGACTCAATGTAAAAGATAAACTTCAAGTTCAATTTCTGCAAAATTTGCTCCAACAAAAACTTTGAATTTTTGGTGATGGATAGTAGAGCAGTGGTTGAGTTCAAAACCACTCATAACTCAATTTTTTCCAAAATGTGGGTTGGTTCCTTTTTGCTTAACTCATTCCAAATAACATGAATTAGGGCTGAATTCAGAGTCGTTCCTTTAACATTTCTTTTTTTAAGGAAGATTCCTTTGGGTTTACATCACTATCACGGGATATTTCAGGCGGTCCTTAATATAATATCGCAAAAAGGATAATTTCAACGGTATAACTTACAAAGTACATCTACGGGACGGATAAGAATGATTTGCCCAGTGAAAAATAAATGCAAACTACAGAGGAAAATAAGCTGTTATTTTGAGAAATTTCAAAGTAGGCACGAACCTACCTACAAATTTGCAAATTTGTATTTTGTATTTTTCCGGAGCACATATCATTGTAATCCCTTCCAAGGGTCCACTTTCAAGTCATATTGCTGATTTTTACTTGCGGTTCGTAGGAAATTCCCTTTTTATGGTACTGTGTAATAGACCTCTTTAAACCCC